GGCATTCGGACAAGAAACCAATAATTGTTGGTTCAAATCGCGATTATATCGCTAGGTTTCACGCTAGGCACACGTCACGCGTGCTTTCCCCAACCTAGTGAGCGTACGCATGCTGGACCTACATTACTTCGGAATCTTCTCCAGTTAAGCTGACACGCCGAGATTTAACTGCAATCAGATTGTACCCGCAGACCCATTCCTTGTAAACGTACAGCTCAATGTTGTACAACGTCCCATACAGGGATCATTATCTGGCTTCATGCAATTTGTCAGACGAACGGAAACTGGCAACATCGGCAGCCACTGACAGTCGTTATATACAAGAGTTGTTATCCATACCACCCATGAAGATCCGTCTTCAGTAACCCATCCGTGTCGTAAGAGGCGAATAATGGGATCGGTAGGTCAGGCCCGCTAACTTGGTGAGTGAGTTTATTTTTACGCCGCACTCAGCAATATTTCAGCTATATGGTGGCGGTCTGTAAATAATCGAGACTGGACCAGATAATCCAGTGATCAACAGCATGAGCATCGATCTGCACATTCCTTCCCAAACTCAGAATTGAACCCAGGAAATAGTCTCAAAAACGCAACCTGATCTCAGAGATGGTACGGTGTTCTCCATGTTTTTCATGCAACTCATGCTGCACGTGCTGTTCACAAGGACCAGCCCTATAAAATGCACCCCCAAACCTGGTTGAAACATTCACATTACAACGTCAGCAGGATGTCTCGACTCCCGACAGCTCAGAGGAACCAGGCGCTAGGAAGACTTGAAGCTGGTCACACTGCACAAGCCGTTCCCAATCACTTCGAGGTTAACGTTCGGACCATCTACAGGCTGCAGCAACGTTTCCGGACCACCAACACCACAAATGATCGCCCCCGTACTGGCAGAACAAGGGTGACCACAAGACGACAAGTCCGCCATGTTGTGCGACAGCATGTACAGAATTCCTTCATGCAGGCATCCATTACAGTTCTGTAATGATTTCCTTACAGTGCCTATCTATACTAGCCACATAAAGAAACTGTGCATTGTCAAAGTATTATCCCAGTTGATAAGTACGATAACAGTGTCAAGAAACATATAAACTTTAATGGAGGGATCATGAGACCATAACAAGTCGGGAGAATTTCAATTGAAAAGACAATCACAATGACGTCACAATGAGTCCACAAGCGGGACAGGGCTCAAACGACCATGTCACAACCTCAATAACGGTTATGTCCACCATCGGCATTGAGAACAGCAGTGCATCGACGACGCATAGAGCCTATCAAACGTGCAAGGAAGGCTTGTGGGATGTCACGCCAGATTCTCTCAAGTTCTGTTGCAAGGTCAAGGACGTTATCTGGCGGATGAGGAAGACGGCGTAGACGTCGAGTCATCTCGTTCCAAACATGTTCTATCGGGGAGAGATCCGGTGAATTTGCAGGCCAAGGCAGTAAGTCAACGTTGTGGTGTTGCAAGAAATCCATAGCAACCCTTGCCGTATGAGGGCGGGCATTGTCCTGTTGGAATGGTAACCCAGGGCCATGAGGTTGCAGAAAAGGAATTGCCACAGGTCAAAGAATCTGATCGCTGTAGCCCACACCAGTTAAGTTGCCCTGAACAATCACCAAAGGAGTTCTTTGGCGTGCTGTTATTCCACCCAAATCATCACGGAACCACCACCAAAGCGATTCCTCTCCAAGACACAGGCCTGTGCATAACGTTCTCCAACCCGTCTATAGGCACGTTGACGTCCATCACTATGGGAAATGTTAAACCTGGACTCATCTGTAAAAACAACATTTCTCCACCAAAACAAGGTTCTGCGGGCATGATTTCGGCACCACATTCGGCGAGCTTGTCGATGACGTTGTGTCAGGATAGGCCGTTTCGCGGGACGTCGTAGTCTGATCCCATGATGACGTAACCGTTGTCGAACTGGTTGGATACGGTGAAGTCCTGGGATGGTTCGGGCAGTCATCACTGCAGTCTGAAACCTGTGGCGAAGATGGGTCACCCTTATCCATCTGTCCTGTCTTGGCGTTGTTACACGTGGGCGTCAAGAACGTGGCCGATCGATGACGTCATTTGTGTTCTGGTAGCGTCTCACCAGTGCAGAAATGGTGTTCCGGTGGCAGTGGAAATGTGCACCCACGGCCTCATGACGTTGTGCAGACGTGAGCTTTGGCATGCTATGTGTTTCAATAGCCGTTTAATTTTTGAACGATCGCAAGGGCAGGTGTTGAGGTTTCCAAAGTGACAGTATTGTGTGGCATTCATTTGCTCTGTTTCTCCTTCCCGGAATGCACGTGCAACAACGTATTGCACGTCTCAAGGACGAACCCACTGACGTCACGGAACGTGGCACGTGCATGCATGTTGGATACATGTCACTAATCTCTGAGTTTAAATCCTTATGTGTCTACACAGGTTTGATAAATTTAGATTTTAAATTTTTGGTCGCAGTTTCTTTATGTGCCTAGTATATTTCATACTGACGGGTTTTTTTGCTGCTGAGTATATGTGAATGGGAAATTCACAATCAAAACTAGGGAATGTTGAATAAACATACTGTTATAAGGTGAACATTGCATACGTTATACAACAAACGTATCACTAATCTATTATTGAGACTTACGGTTATTTCGTCATAGAATCAATGCTATGATTGCTTCGTAATAAACTAAGGAATAAAGACCAGGATAAATGTCAGTAACAGATAAGCCTCTTAAAGTAGTAATTAAACGGATATCGATCGAGGAGTATTTCCGATCACGAGGCACGACATGAGACCATGGAATGATGTAACTTTAAACGAATCGGACCGATTGTATCTGGTCAAGTGATGAGGGTGGAGCGGGCTCGAACACCTTAAAAAGATAGCGTCAGCACTAGAAAGTGGTGAGGGTTTCAAAGTCAGCAGAACGTTCGCATCGCGATCATGTTTGGTAAAGAGCTTGCCCTATCCTGTCCAGTCCGAGTCACCTTGTAATGAAGAGAGGGATCGAGTAAACCTACGTGAGTGTAGAACCTAGTGTTGAGTTATTCATGGTATACCAGAGTGCCAGTACATGAATGTAATGTTGTAGTTAGGAGTCCCCGGTCGTCAGACCTCTCACTTGTAGACGTAGCAGCCCCCAACGGACCAAGCGAGTGTGTAACTTGAGCTTACACCACCCCTAACAATGCGGAACGGCCATCTTAATAGGTAATGGTGCGGTCCCATTTGCGACCTCGGGAGCTCGACAGACTCGACCTCGCAAAACTACTCGACCTGTCTCGATCTGGGGGTATCTCGACCTCACAACGACCTTAAAAGGACCTCATAACGACCTCGTAAGGACCTTTACGACCTTAGTTTGATTTCAGCCCGACTTCAGTCGACCTATCTCGACTCAGGTCGGCCAAGTTGAGGAGACCTATACTCGACCAGCTAGACCTGTATATCGACCTAATTTAGAATTAATTTCGTCCAAAGTCGACCGGCCCGACCTCTACGCGGCCTGTGTTCAACCGGAGCGACTGGTTCTCAACGGAAATTCCATTTTTCTGCCGAGTAGACCCTTGGTTTCCAAACTGTATAAATTACAGGGTGTATTTTCACCAGGTACCGATTCAATTAGAGGACTGCAAAGTAGTAACATCACCATCAGGAACCTTGACGTAAACCTGGTGAGCCACGAGAAGCGAAGACTGCTTACCATTTGGTTGCAGATAGCATGGCACCTGCTTGAACTAGTGGAAGACCTGGATAATGCCAACTCTCCTCCAAAGCCAAAGCCTCAGTCGTAAGCAAACCAATCCCATCCTTGACGCCTTCAAAGCTGAGTATCGGTCAGATGAGTGGGATCAGAGCAGATGGACTACTGTAACCCGTGCTTTCAAGGAAAGGTGGCAATTTCCATATTGCACCGGTGCGTTTGAAGGGTTAAGCACATGCGCATCAAGAAATCTCCCAAAAGCGGGTCCCTCTTCTACTACTACAATAACTTCTTCTCTATCGTCTTGCTGGCACTCGCGGATGCCGACTACAAGTTCCCGTGGATCAGCGTCGGGGCCAAGGGATCAGCATCAGACGCTGATGGTCTTCAACCATTCACGAGATCGGATGGAGGGCGATGACCTTGTATTCCCCGTATGGTGTTCCATACTTCATCATCGGCGACTATGCCTTTCCACTCCGCCCCTGGATGATGAAGTCCTTCTCCATGCGCCAGATGGACCCCGATCAGCAGATCTTCAACTGCAGGTAATTATTCCTTTCCATAAATACCTAAATCGAATTTTAACTTAGAATCTTTGGGTGTATGTAATATTATATCAAAGGTTTGAATGAAGCTGGGGAGTTGTAGTCTGCAGTAGCCCGACATTTCAACGTTCATAAGAGCACCATATGTCTCCTCTTTCCTGCAGTGCAATTCCGCCCATGATCACCTGAGAAGCGGCCGTCCTACCAAGTTACCACCCAAGTCCAGGACCGCTGCAGTCATAGCATCCCGAAACGGCATACAAATCGTCAAAGATGGCGGCGAGGGGAGAATCGAACCCAGGTCTTCGGCGTGACAAGAGAACGCTTTAACCACTAGGCTACCCCACGCCGATTCGTTCATGAACATATTGGGACTATCGCCAACGTTATCAACGACGTTGCTGGTTTTCCGTTAGCGATCATTTCAGGTTGCCTTGACATAAACTACTGACTCGTATTCTGATGACCAGTTTCAGCCTTAAGGCAGAACCTTTGGGCTTTCGTAACTGGTATAACCATGAACAAGCAGTCATCGCGGTTTGGTTTACACAGTTGCGATATATTCACTTCACAGCACCATGGTGAAACATTACCAAGTATCACGGGCACTACACCAAGGTATTATTGATTGTTTTGTATTTCTTTGCGCATCTGGTCATTTTAATAATCGTTTGCCGTATATTTCATATAACAAATGATATATATGGATCCATCCAGGTTATCAATCAATAACGTGGTTATCTTCAATACTTTTATTGGTCAGTTATGGACATGGCATGAATAATCTCTCCCCCTATCCCCCCAAATCGGTTAAAAGTACTCAATAAAAAGAGATTGATAATGAAATACACGTATCATTATAAATACTCAAATGTAAAATTTTAACAAAATAGACCAGATTTACTGGACAAAAATAGTTAGGGATATACGTCAATTTTGAAATTATGAATAATGATCTATTTATTCATTGACACACTGATAAAATATCAATCATAAAAATACCAATATCCCTAACTTATTGTGTCCAGTATATAAGGTGTGTTATCGACCAGGCGCGAAGGTTCCATATTACGTGACATGATATCCAGTCGCCAAAGCGTGTATGCCTGACACATGCACGTTGCTATATGTTGAATCAATAATTATGGTAACTGTAATAATGACGATCAACATTGAATTACAACGAAAAATAGCTATCGTGCACCACTCATCACGGACCTAAAACGGACCCGATGTATCTAAGATACGATCTCGCAGTGTCCTGAGATGAGATCTGAGCGCCTTATGACAGCCATGTTTAGACTGTTGGATAGCTGGCCTGGGTGGCGATACCGCACTGGTTGTCCTTGTTCCTGGACATCATGATGTATCCCTCCATTCCCCAGGTCTCACCCCAGCTGCAACACAAATATATACACCTTCACTACCAGCCAAACCATACCACCAGTTTTAGAAATTCTTCCAGAATAGTCTTGTGGACAAAACCTCAGTTCCCTGATCACGTTTCCTTGTAGCTAGTCCTATCCAAAATCACAAACAAGACAAAACCATTTACTGTGCTTTGAAATATATGGGTGGATAAGGGTTGGAGATGGGAAGGAAATTATCATAATATGGGTGTCAACTTCTGTATTTAAATAAGCTGACACAAATACATTGTGTCCACATTTATGTTCATCACTTTTAAATGCAATTCAAATAAATTCATATAGTTTGCTGGTTATTCCATTGGTCAAGTTTGTAGTTAGTCCTACTTATACATGCCAAAACTAGTTCCTATGTTTTTATAAAGGGAGATGTGTGTGTAGGTGTCAGCTTCTGATGTGAAAGAAGTTGATGTCCATGAATTGTGTACCCTTTTAAGTGTATTAATTTGCGTCTAAATTAAATTCAAAGACATGTTTGTGTTGTCTGAGTTCACATTTTCTGTCAGTTTTATTCAATTGCAAACTTGTGACAAAACTGAAACACTGAGAACTGGTTCAGAATTATAACCCTTAATGTTACTTATAAATGATGACCACCTTCGTTGGAGGAAACTGTGAGCAATTGAAGTGGATATTGCTTACACATCATCAGGGCAATCCCCCTTCTACCACAATTACTCAGTACTATGATGATGATGATGATGATGCTGATGATGATGATGATGACGACCGCACTTGTTCTTCACCAGCAAGTAGTCCTTGCTATCCTGAGAACCGTATCCTACTGCAAGGACACCGTGATCAAGCCTCTTCGAGCTGCATTTCTTCTCGTCATAAACTCCGCTCTTGTAACTCTGGAACGATGGATGAGCCGCGTCGATGGCGACAGAAATGGGGCCCACTTGAGCCACGGTGTGCGGAAGGGATTCCTCTGAGTCCTTCTTAATGTCGACAGCACCAGTATCGGTGGCACCAATATCGGCACGCTTGAAGTGGCACTTCCCGTCCTGAAAGGAGTACCAATAAACTGGCATTCTCTTCAGATTCATGGTAGTCAATAATCATTTAGGACAATGCTGTCAGACACATGATATTGAGGGATATTAATGGTATTTGGCCAGATGTAATATGGGATATGTCAAGCACCTGCAAGGCTCGGCCAAATGCCTTAAAACAGAATTAAAGTAAGGTTAGCAGTAGATATACCCTTGAAAAGAAAGAGATATAAATGGGAAATATTGTTAGTATTTCATCGTTTGTATATCCTGTGAAATATATACATTCAGTTTGTAAATATGTATACATTACATCTTCACACTGGCAATACATGTACTCTACAGACAATGTTCGTACCTTTGCAAGGTATGGATAGCTGGCCTCAGTGTCAATGCCCTTGTTAACCTTGATGTACTTGAAGGCCTGGTCCATCAAACCACCTCCACATCCCATGTTGCCTGGAAGAGATAGAGAATACGTCTTCACAAATTTCACACTTACAGACTCCGAAGCTGACTGGACACACTTCTTGGGGAAAGGTGAACTACAGGAGATTCCATGGTAGACTTTGAAGACCTAGATCGAGAGAAGACTTGAAGGACCACTCATTAACGTAAAGGCCGTGACACAACAGTTGCGATAAGGGTATCAATTCAAGAGGCTGACTCAGTTCTGATTCAATTCTTCACCTTCTTTCCTGGAACAGTCGACCAGATTCTGTTCTGACAGAGACACCAGTTTGCCTGCCTCCTTGAAATGTTGTCCTTCCAGGGATCCAGTTGAGGAGAAGGCCCAGCAGGAACCACATGCTTTCTGAAGAGGAGGGTACATTTTAGTGTTCTGTTGTGCTTTTAACCTTTTGCATGCATGTTGCTATGATATTAGCAGTAATGTATATTTAGAAACATGCAAAATTCTAGTATAAGGCAAAATATTATGGATGTCAACTTCTTCTTTATTGTATACACAACGTTTCTGGGCTTTTCTTTGCCCCTTTTTCGTTCACCTGAAACGCCCAGAAACGTTGTGTGCACAATAAGAAGAAGTTGACATCCATTATATGTTGTCTTATACTTGAATACCAACTTCTATATGCCTCTCAAGAACCTCATGCAATGTTCTAGAATCTTATTACGCAGATGCCTTCTTTGTATTCTTGTCATTGGCCCAGAATAAAAATAACCTCATGAGAATATATATATTTATGTTTATCTCACGTAAGTTTTATTGAGAGCACACACCTGGTTTTTAACGGGGGTGACGTAGCCCTTGGTTCTCCAGTCGACGTCAATGGAACAATCTTCGGCACTCGCTTGACATATCCAGATTGCTTTAAAGATCTTCTGATTGTTCATTCTGATACCTTAAGGGTTCCTTGACTTGACGCCTTCACAGCAAGCTGTTTTGCGAGACGCGCGATACGTCTTCTGTCATTTGCCCCAAGAGTAGCACGACGTCCCGATCCCGCCTGTCGCTCTGTCCCTAACCCTGCGTCAAATTTCTTCATATTTCGGTAAACAGAGGCCCGATGCAGTCCCGTCAGTTGCACGAGTCTAGTTACGGATGTAATACCTGTTTCATAATATGCCAAGAGTCGATTTCTGTTGTTTTGTAACGTCATGACAAAGCTTCGGTATCGTCTGCTAGAAACGAGGTCACGTGATCAAGCCATCCCGAACCCAAGGGAGATAATTCCATACCAACGAGGCAAGCTACTGGCAGCTAGAAACAATGTATTTCGGCTTTTTTGATAGTAGGATCGAGTCCACAGAATAAAGTTTTTGTCGCATTTTTTCTTCTCGTTACTATATATACAGTATGCTTCGGACTGATAGAACTCAACGAGGGGAAGTCAGTTTGTTCGGTATAACCCAGGCATGTTATTTGCAGACTTTGTATGTTCAATGTGTCGGTCATTTACAGACTTTGGAACAGTGTTCAGGAGTATGTTTATGATCGGACGAGCAGAATATGAATTTAAATTTTGAGGTCACTGTTTGTCAAGCCACTTACCACAGGATTAGAAATCGTTATCCGCCATCGAGTATGGTATCCTGACAACCAACAACCTGAAGCGACCTGACAGATTTAGGGATGCATATGCAGTGACATGAGGAGGGGTTACTACTCCTGCATTAACGCCAATCCATACTGTACTTGAAATGGTAAATTGGCTGTATTGCAGGGAGAACTGACTGGGGCCAATGGTCGTGTCCTTGCTCGACCGACTGGTTCACATTTGTCTCGTGACTAAATCCAACAACCAAACATTCTCCCGGCTACTAGGTTATGACCAATTATGGATCAGGTATCTTAAAGTTTAAAATGTGTTTTTAAAATGTACACACCCTTTCGTCGTTCGTTTATGCACCCTTACAAACACCGCCAACATGTTCTGTTGATACACAGTATATCCATGTTCTAAACGAGCCATTACCATTAGTCGATGCCTTACCTCTGTAATTAACTGTTTTGCACATGCCCTAATTATCTTCTGGAGTATATTTATAGTGCATAGAAATTCTGTCGAATTCAATCACTCTATCTATCTTGATATTCAAGATGTGGAAGTATGACCACATGGGGATACACTGAAAACGAGTTGCTAATGATACAAAAGAGGTTATTACATCAGTGACTGGGCTGATCGTACCTCAACAAAGACGTCAGTCATGCTACAGGATGGTTGCAAACAGTACAAATATGCATGGGATTTGAGAGGATTTTAATCAAAGTCGCCAACTAAGAACAACATACAGACCTTGTCGTTCAAAATGAATTATTAAATTTCGGTATTTCGGTATAGATTCTTATACCGTTTTCAAGCATCAGTGACATGTTGAAAACGGTATAAGAATCTATACCGAAACGTCGCCATTGTTAAAATAAAAAAGTTGGTCATCCATAAAGTCTTGTCATTCCTATACCACCACCTTCTAGAATGCCAGTCAAACAAAACTTATTCTAAGTTATGTTTCTTGCTGTTTTTGTGTTTTTCAGGAACAACTGAGAAGATGTTCCTAAACACCATCTGCACCTTCGTCGTTGTACTGATGGCGTGCCATGTGGAGAAAGGAGGTAAGGCAACGCACTTGATAGCTTGGCCCATTCACCTGCCACAGATGCAGTGTTAATTCAGTGTTATACTGTTACAAAATATGTTCTGCCAAAATAATATAAAAAGTATAAAATCAGGAAATGTCTGACGGTGTTTCGGTGATATCCATACAGAATAAATACCAAATATATAGTTCACATGTCTACATGCATCCAGACAGATTTGTAGGTGTAGAATAAAGTACGGCCAAAAAGTGGGGGAAAACGCAAACCCTCAGCCACGTGCGAGTGTGGCGATCAAACACTTCATAATATGAACGTGCAACATGAATATCTGGGCAATGAAACGGCGGGTTTCTATTTAACTGCCATCACAGCAAGTGGAAAGTGAAAACATGCCAAGACTAACAGAAGCAACAACGCCATCGGCCGACTGTAGTCAGGCAACTGAGCGTCTGCCGCAGCCATTTTTTCCACGTATCGTCAAGCACCATTACCTGAAACAGGGAGCTATGGAACAGTTATCTGAAACAGGGGGCTATGGAACAATTATCTGAAACAGGGGTCTATGGAACAGTTATCTGACACAGGGGTCTATGGAACAGTTATCTGACACAGGGGTCTATGGAACAGTTATCTGAAACAGGGGTCTATGGAACAGTTATCTGAAACAGGAGTCGGCATGTATTCTACCCAGATCCGGTCCACCACGCGTGACAAATGCACCGTACGACAGGTTCATACGGGTTCATCTCTTACGTGACAGACTCACCACGGCCACCACGACCACCGGTGCAACTACGCCATTACCAGGGTTGGTTTTGATTTCTGCTCAGACAGTAAGGAACCGTCTCCGCGGCGCAGGTATTCGCCCGAAACAACCAGTTCCTCCTGTCAGTGGCGTCAAGGACACAGGGTATGGCCACAACAGCGATGAAGACCTGTTTGAGTTAGTGACAAGTCATATTTCCACACGACAACGCCCGACCTCAAACGACAAGACTGACAAAGGCCTTTTCGACGAACCACAACGTCCAAGTACTGCTATAGCCCTCATGGTCTCCAGAACTAAACTCCATTGAACATTTATGGGATGCTCTTGATCAACGTCTGCGACCACGTCAGCAACCTCCAATAGTTGGCACAAGCACTTCAGGAAGAGTCGGTGGACATGAAATAGAGAACAGGTGACCTTCACCTTGACATTCGATTCTTTCACGTGTGTCAGGATAAATCTCGGTTAGTGATAATAACTTATGCAAAATGTGAACAATTTATCATGATCTGTTTATCATTAATGTTATACATAAACTTTATATCTGAAACCCACGTTCGTTTCCTTTGTTGTTGTTGGAGAGTTCAGGATTGAATAATCCACTTTGGAATGGTATTATTTGGTGATAAGGTTGCGTGATTCTAGTTGGATTTGAAAATGATTCACGGAATCACGTGAAAGATTGACGTTTCATGGTAAATAACCTGATGGACAGTCATTTTTGAAAATATTTGGTCATCTGAAGTTCAACGATGAATGCAAATCTCAGTCAGATGACCCTATTACATTGTTAATTAAGATATGAAATGCCAATAGTTTGACACCTTTGTATTGAGTCCCTTTAAATATCATTATATCACATGGCATCAGTTACCTAAGGCTGTCGGTGTATTGTGAGGGGGCTAGGGGGTTGGCTGGACTCATTCATTAATAGAGCAGTGGTGTCAAAGGCAAAATTTGATTTATGTCAACCCGAGGTATATCAAGGTATTTGTGGTATCGTTGGAAATCTCTGGTTCCCCCAAACCAGTTTTGTTTTGCCAGATTCATAATTATCAAGCAGCACATGCCTGTTGACACGTTCCCATGGTTACCATTCGACATTTGAATGGATATTTTATGATTTTATTTTGAGAACAATTGTTCTGTTCCGAGCACTGCTCCATTGATATATGTAGACCAACACGGACAAGGCCACAACAATCGATTTGTTACTACTTGTGTTTAAAGTCAATGTTTTATCCGAATTAGTTCGAACTGCTGGATACATTATGTGTAAAGCTACATGCCTTTGGTATCTTGGAAAACTGACAGGTGAATTCCACGACTGTTAAAGGTAGGACACATGCGATTTTGGGCGTTGGGGCGTTTCTTTGTTACCATGCTTTGGTTACCATTTATTTGACATTAGCTACCAGACATTTGACCATGTTATTTCACATGGTTCGATGGAACAGTGCTTGGAGAAACACGAATAAATTCTGTTAATATAGAATGTCATGATTAAGATTTATCCCACTATTAAACGCCGTTCAATGATCAATTTATTTCGTCTCTTCAGGTGCTCAACTGCCATCCTTTACAACTGACTTATCGCTCTCAACGGGATGTACTCTACTTGAGGAGGGACCTCAAATTTCATTCAATCTTATTCGAAGCGGTGGAGCGTTTGGACCTTCATTTACGACTGAAACACTTGATGATTCCGCCACGTTCCCGGCGGATTATACCCTTCCGATGGGAACATCCGGAACATTCACTGTCTCACCCAATTTTGAAATAGTTATCGTACCTGTCGATGATGGGGTATGTTTGTATTGAGTTATTGATATGTATTTACATACTCATTTCTTGATAAATAAATGTTTGAATCTGGAATGTTTTGCACACACAAGACATCACTGAAAAGGTGCAACCGACACAAAGATAACAGATTACCATTGTTAGATATTCCATTGAACCATCCATCATATAAAAAGTCTCAACAAACCATGTGATTACAAAGCGGCACTGGGAAATTATGCAAGCCACAGCCAAAAATCATAAATCTTTAGATTGAAATATTAAACTTCATCAGTATTAGCTGAAATTTTCTGAAACCTTTCTCATTGAAATAGGGCAAATTAAACTCATCTGTCCTGGAAAAGAAACAATAGTTACTAAGAGTAGAAATTAGGGCATTCAGAGGCTGAATCAGATTATTCTGTATATAATTGTAGAACCCTCTTCATTGATTGTTAAGGTGTTATTGTGTTAAATCTGGTGTGGGCATTGCGACAGCTTCCTCAATAACATGTAAACAAATGGATGGACAGTTAGATTTGTGTTTCCTTCATTTGACTTTTTTAAGGCGCGAGCTTTATGATAGGCGTGCGCTTTAATCGTTACTGTAATTAACTGTTTGATTCTGTTGCAGATTACAGAGGGCGAGGAGAGCTTCACTTTAAGATTTTCAGCCATAGGATAAACACCACTTGATGTATTATTCTGCATTTCGGGTAACGATAGTTTTATATAAGTTTACATGAACGACTACCTGTTTCGCTCTGCTATAGTTGATTATGTGCAGTAACATTAAGTTTAAGCCATTTGAGCTTGGTTGTAATTTGTAACAACCTATTACAGAGCGAGTCATACTTTGTAATATATATTGATTCTGGGTTACAGCCAGCAGGCATTACATTCAGTAATGCCGGTTGGTATGGTAACGAACGTCTGATCATGACCAGTGAACTGTTAAGCAGAAGTATCAACACTTACAAAATGGAGAGACACTTAGTTTCTATTTAGAAGCAACAGATAAATTTCTGCTAAATAATTAGTCAGTTGTCCTTCTATATCACTAACATGAGTCCATGACTCAAAATCAGGTAGTGAAAATTTCTTCAATACAGCGGTATGATGAATTCATCAATGTTCCGCCTCTCTCTCGGTAACTGATAACTTGTATGTTATCGTATATGACATGAACTCCTTGACAAAATAGAGCGTTGGTGAATATCAGCAATGTATTTTGTATCCCCACAGGAATTGAACTATTAGTTAAAACTATAGACATATCATCCTTTACTGTGTCAATGCCTGGCTTTTCACTTTTATTGAATTATCGGCAGCTTTGGTATGCCTTATGCCTTAAATACACCTCATCAACAGATCCGCCCACGGCAACAATTCCGTCTGAGGTCACGACATTTCCGTCTCAAACCACGACGGCAATTCCGCCTGAGGTCACGACAATTCAGTCTCAAACCACGACGACAAATGCGCCACTGGCTTTCAGCGCAAATGCAAGAACATGTGTCAAAGAGAGCCTGGCCCCACTGGTCATACGAATGAGGAGACCATCATCAGATACGCTTGCAATGAATGCGTTAGATCCGCCTATGTACACCAAACCGCCGTGCACCCCAATTACCTTAGTTTGGTATCCATGGGATAATTCGGGGTTCTCACTGAGTGATAAACTACTTTACTAAAATTAGTCACCTTCACCAATCAAATTGTTATGCGTTTCTGTTCTTCCTGTTGTTCAATGACAATAAATAACTTTTATTGTTGTATGTGCTGACATAGGCATGTGAAGGTTAAAGTTATGCTACCAGAACGGGACAGATGTATCTATAATGTGTACATTGCTGTGAATGAGAGGCGGACAAGTTTACATAATTTCGTATACACGTTGACAGTATATATGACCCTGAATGGGAGAGGGACATGTTTTAAGATGTTGGATGACAAAGGGAAAGATGTATATGTAAAGTTTATAACATATGTACCTGGATGACAGAGAGACAGATGGGCATGCAGAGTTTGTGTTACCCTGGATTTTAACCTGGGCATATGAGCATGGCGTGTTGGGCGTGTGTGAGAGGGGCAGACGGTACGGGTCTTTGTTACGTCATAAGATAAGCTGTGGCCGAAACACAGATCTTTCTGTATGACGTGTTTTCGGTATGATGGACTTCTCCATGTCCTTCTGTAGTGATGTCCGTATGCCATCTTTCTTTCTTGAAGTTATACATGTATTGTGTTCAAGGTTGTCGAGTCAACTGAAGAGTTCTCAATTACAATCAGTGCTCCGGGTTATGATCCTATCACCATCAAGGGATGCATCAAAGACGACGATCGTAAGTAGCGTGTTGTTTCTAACATTGAGCATGTATTTTCCATCTATGTAATCAGCCACTGAAAACAGAAGTAAATGAAATGTAATTCTGGAACACCTGAGTGTTCTACCAGCAAGTGGCCCCCTCTCGTTCAAAAAATAGCTTGCATAGGGAATAGCTTGCGTGTGTGACCGCGCGTAAAACATGGGGTCAAATTATTGTTCAACCCCTCCAAAACATCCCCAAAACTCTCGGCCGTCGAACTTTTTGCTTGTCCATCCTTATTTCAGGCGCGGTTCCATTCAACTGTAACCGTTTCGGTGTTACTTGCGATGCGGGGACCTGTCCACCAAGCGGTTCGACTTGTGACTGTTCCACCGCTCCAGGCAGAACAGGGGACAACTGCGGGATTATTCAATGTAAGTTGTAGTTTCGTACAGGACGTGAGAATATTTTCATCATTTAGTAAAGGTGAGTTTACTTTTACACCGCACTCAGCAATATTCCAGCAATATGTCGGCGGTTCCTATAGTCCGAACATGTTAATGGCGTGGAGCTTGCGACATTTGTATTATTGTGTGTTCATTGCAGCTAACATCAATGGCACCGGCTGTGCTGGCACGGACTGTAGAAGAAACGGCCAGTGCGTCTCAGACGGGTCAGTTGGCGCATGTGTGTGTAACTCGGGCTATTACAGTGGTGAAGGGAAGTGCGAACTCAAGAGAAGTATGTTCATATTTTACAGTTTAAATTCTCTGGTATATGCTGATAATTGAATCGAATGAAATAAGACACTTCAGCGTCCCTGCGGATCTTAATACAGACATGTTACTATGGTCTAATTATAACTGTAACAGAATATGGAGCATGGAACATGAAGACATTAATTTAACCAAAAATCGTGCCATCGTTACTTTTTATGACTTCCGAATGAAATGTTTCCTCACTACCTTTTCGTCAATTTTTCATCTGGTGATGATGACCCGTGAAGATGTTCAGCGATCCATGCTTGTCGTAAGAGGCGAAAAGGAGATCGCCCTGACTTGGTTGACACATGTCGTATCCCAATTACGACTAGACTGTCATGTCTGGTCCAGACTCGATTACATACAGACCGTAGTCATAAATCTAGAATATGGGCAAACAAACTTAAAAACATAATTGTCCAAATTTGTACCTCAGGTGTATTTTGAAAAGGGATTGATGCTATCATTTTGCAGGATCTGACCTTGTGTCTATTGACAACGATGAGCCGTTCTGACAATAAAGTACTAGACATTTTCAAACGTAAACATTTGTTCATAGACCGTTGCTTATCATATCTGTTACTTCGTATGTTGATGACCATATTGCCAATGCCTAGCAACCATCACTTCCTGTAACAACAACAAGATGACGTTCTGCATGAACCCTATCAACACATACAGGCCTCTCATCACCGTCTCTGGCTACACCTCTAATAGATGCACCGCCGATCTAGTTGGAGATATAACTGACAATCAAAACAGGATCCCATCGGATATACAAGGACAGTGTCTCACTGTCGGCTTCAGTGGCACATGTGGATCATACAACGCCATATCACAGGTATAATTGTCCCTTAAAGGCACAATGTCACACATTTTCAAAAATATTTTGGCCTATATTATATGTATAGGGGCATATGCACTCACTTTAGCTTCCTATTGATGTTATAAAATATTTTCTATCCCCTTACAACTTGCCTAAAAGCGATAATTGAAACTTCGAGCCGCACAGCTTCCAAAGAATACTTGCCTTATATGGAATGGAAACAATTGCTTCGTACATCGAAAACTGTCGCATGCGGTGTTGTCGGTGTTTGCAGAACTGGTTTCAGTCACAAGCTGAGCGTAGGATATTTGTAAAGAGCGCTCCAAGGGACATAACTCTATGGGGTTCGCTTGAAATAATGCAACGTTGCATTAATCCATTCGAACGTTTTAATTTAATATTGTAATCTAAATACGTAAGTATTAGATGGTAGATGGTAGATTAGCTAAGGGGTGAAAGTTAGTGTTATTGAGAGAAATGCATTATTTATGTTTAGAGAAACACTTCACCGTTATTGATATAGTGCCTTTAAGCTCAGTGAAAGTAATTTTCCTGAAACCTGCAATTGAAACAGGAGAAACACTTTCCAGTACGGTCTTATGTGCCAATATATATTTGCAACACCAAGCACGTTTTCGAAGTAGAAATGTAGTTTTTAATTCCTTTCTTACAACCATAAGAACGCACGGATGCGTTGACATATAAACGGATCATAAAAAGGGACAGATTTGGATTCCAAACAGCGCTCATGAAGAACACGTCACAATTGTATTCTGGAAACCCAAAAGTCCAGAAACTCTCCTCACTGGCCAGTTTCTGACACAGAATTTGACAAAATTCAACATGCAGTTATCATGAATATAAGCTGAGGATTTAAAATTATTGTTTTAAAAAACTCGAATTGTAAACAACCTCGCCCATGACCCGGTCGATTGGGAATATTTACTTTTGCTAAAAAATCATTATGTTTTGGAGGTTGCAATTGAATGAAAGTATGTTAACAAGTATCATGACACAAAATTCAAAGGGTTCTATTTACCCACCACGAGATAAGGTGTACAGGGCAGTGCCATCCCTTGTTACATTGATAATAAATCATCGTCATAACGAGACATGTGGATTACATGCACAGTGCTCCAAAGATATCTCCAAAGAATTACATTATTAAACTCAAACATGGTAAGAGAGGGAAATGTTCTATTCTCGAATAAATACACCTGGTCCACAAAAAGTTGCATATATTTTCGATATAGAAACTAACGCTTTTAGGGATATCCATATACGCAATAATAGATGACATCATTCATTCAGATGTACATCGCTGATGAACCTGAAAACTATTAAAAAAAGCAAGACACCGCTTAATATGTAACATTTGCTATGCATGTACATTTGTGAAATCCATTTTTGCATACATATATGCATTGCAATGACATGCAATGGACATATTAAAGGTAGGCGATGAGGAATACGTACTTTTAGCTTCGCCATAATGCATTGTGTCGTCATTTTGTCCAGCAGGATGGGAATGTGTGTTATACAATTCCATACCGCATCCAGTACAACCCTAACATGATGACGGCCACAGATGAAGTTGTGTACGCTAAATGCTGTGTCAACCAAGCACGACACAGATGCCATCCTAGCAGAGGAACAGATTTATGGAACTCCTTATAACTGATAATAACTTATCTGGATTTTAAGTGTGGATTGTATGTTTGATATAGAATTGATTGTTTTGTTATTCCAGGAACCACATCAACAAACAGCAAGAGGCCGTAAACATTTTGGGCGTGAAGCTGTCCTCCGCGCTCAATAACGGCCGCCCTATAGATAGTCCACTTCCCCTGAACCAAATCTACCAACTGTGTTTAGACATTACGGATGAGGGTAGGTTTGAATTGTAATGTTCAATTGGTTTGGGTTTTGAATAGCAGCAAAAGACTCAGGGTTACCAAGGTAACAACATTCTAATGCTAAGTGGGAAGACCTCACGACAGTATCAAACAGAAACACCATTTACACGCCCTTTCTTTAATCATAAATCTTTGCAGGCTTCGCATATATTAGCTTGATCCGAATAATCGTCCATAATGGTCGGCGTGGTTCTTCGCGAAAAGAGGCAGTGGTGTATGGAAATGATGTGTAAGAACCTTGAAAAGGTGTCTCCATAATCACCCCAAATTCTTCACACTTCACTGTTATCTACTGCCCTGTAAAACAATCTGTGAAACTAGATGATATTTCTAAATTCAAAACTGAAGCTTTATTCGTGTTGCAATATCTGAATGTTGACGACAGTATAGCACCTAATACGCAGTCTGATACAAATGTTAATGCATCCGTGTAACATTGCATAGAAAGCTGGAGATGATCTACAGTGGTCATTTACAAGCAGGATGTTTTGGACGAAACCTTTTCATTCCCCAAATCATGGTCAAGCATAATCTAGTATTCTAAGATGATTCCATTGCCAACTGTAAGTAGACGTAAGTTTGGTGAGGCCAAGATTTGAATGGTTATTTGTTTTTATTATAGATGCAGCGACGAGGCCGGCAAGGCTATCGTGCACTCCTATCCCCGCAGAATCAGCAACACGAGGATTTGCATGCGGTACAGGCCAGGTTACTTCTGCCCAGGACCTGCAGCTGTGATCCATGATATGAAATACAGGCTGTGCCTCGCAGGGGATCAAGCTAGCTGTCAGCTGGTACGTGGAGGTTATCTATTATAAACACATATTTTCTTACTTGTACTCAGGGAAATCGCTGAATTTCTACACGGAAGTCTGAATGAGAGTCAGGACTGCGTATTCTTATGCACCAACAATATATAGTGATCAGGCAAAAAGTGCCTGAGACAATCTATGCCAGCTGGCTTCTTTGAGAGGTATTTAGAAGTTTGAGCAGTGAGGAAGACTAACACTACATGGATGAACAACTTCTTCATAAAGTAAGAGTTTCGGTGTAGATTCAAACACCAATTGCTTGTTAAGGGCGTCCGAACCTACACCGAAACGTCACTCTCACTCTAATGATGAAGTTGTTCATCCATATATTGTTATCTTTCCTGTGCTAGCTAACTGGTACCTTCAAGTTCCAAAAATCATCAGATTTGTTTTTGTTTAAAATAAGAAAAACATGGGGCATGGTGGGCAAACTGTCTAAGGCACCAGGCTAGTTATCCAGTAAGTTTAAAGTGCCGGGATCGAGCCAACCTGTTAACGGACGTACAAACCTTGGAGTCACCTTTGTGTGCAGACTCTTTCAGTGTTTTCACAACCCCTAGTGTACAGTACACAACCCCTGTGCACTTAACAGAACCCACGAATCCGTTGGTAAATGACCAGATGGTGGCCACATGAATACGTGCAAACACCTAGTTGGCGGGTACAGCAACGTGCAGTCCAGCTGTGAATGGGTACCTCTTAAGAATGGAAAAGCCACATTAACTTAGTGCGCCTAACGACTGCACAAGTTGTATGTCCCCAGGGAGTTCATATTGAAAAATACGATGTGCCGTATCCAATAATCGAGGGGGGAAAATAAAGCTCTTTGAGCATGCATGTAGATGGAATGGACTATAGCGCTATTTAAATACCTCCCTGAGCGAATTGACCTCCCTGAGCGACTATTGACCTCCCTGGGCGACTATTGACCTCCCTGAGCGACTCCTAGATTTACTCAAGTCTTTAATGAGCTGCTGCTCGACTCAACTTGAGAAGTACTCGCAAGGGCAGGTGCAGACTTCGGAATCTATTCCAATCAGAAGAGGAATTTTCCAGGGGGACTCCTTCAGTCCTTTGCTTTTTTGTTTGTCTTTAATTCCTTTGAGTTTTCTGCTCAATAGAGAGGAGGGTTACCATCCCGGACCTCCTCAGCACAGATCCCCAACACCGCTTACTCATCTCCTTTATAAGGATGACATCGAGCTCCTTGCCAAAGGAGAAGCCAATTTGAAAGAACAGGTTCTCTTTGTCGAGTCCTTTTCTAATGATATTGGCATGCCATTTGAACTCGACAAATGTAATACTCTTCATTTGAAACGTGGCAAGGTAACTAATGATGGATCTGTCAAGTTACAACGGGGAGGAGTTATTGAGCATCTTGTGGAAGATCAGGCCTACACCTATCTTGGAATGCAAGTTTGAGACAAGCTCCAGAATGCCCAGATTCAAGAAAAACTTCGAAACAAGGTCAAAGCCACCAATACTTTTGCTGTGCCAGTCCTTTCCTATTCCTTTGGAGTAGTTGATTGGACAAAACAAGACATCCAGGGTCTTGACCGCCTGACCGGAAGAATCATGTCTAATAACAGAGCTCACCACCCTCGTTCCTCTCTTAATCGTTTATATATGCCAATCAATTCTGGAGGTCGGGCTTTGATTAATGTGGAGGCTCTTCATGATAGAAATTTATTGTGTACTTTTGCACATTTTTTTTTCGGATGATCCTCTGCTGATCCATGTCAAGACTCACGATGAAAGCCAGGAATTCCACAGCTATCTTAAGCATGCCAAGGTTGTTGATTTTTTATGTTGATTTTGTTGATGGCGATGATCTGCTGGATGGTACAGCGATGGGAGTAAACCAGGTGACAGCAACGTGATTGGCAAGATTCAGGAAAAGCATGATACGTATACGGACCTCGCCTTTGAAATGTCTCGCTTGCATCCCAAGTACACTGTCGTCAGGCTCCCCATTGTTCTCGGTGCCCTTGGTTTGGTACCTCCTGATCTCTTGGCGCAGATCAGGAGAGTGCCCGGGTTCTCCACCGGGAGCACAGCCCTTCTGACTGACTGACTGACTGAGTTTGGTTTTATGCCGCTTTTAGCAATATTCCAGCTACATCACGGCGGGAGAACACCAGAAATGGGCTTCACACATTGTACCCATGTGGGGATTCGAACCCGGGTCTTCGGTGTGACGAGCCAACGCTTTAACCACTAGGCTAACCCACCGCCTGGGTAATGCAGAAGGCTCCAGTGTTGGGGAGCCTACATATTCTCCGGAAAGGTCTTGGTGGGTTCGACTATGTTAGACTAGTGTTTCCTGGGAGAAGTCCCATTCGCTGCCTGGGCTGTGTGTAGAGGGGGTAAGGGCCCCGAGCTGATAATGAGCCTTACCAGCCTGACTGTGCCAGGATCACCCGTACCCTCTCTGCTGCATTCTATCGTTAATCTGTAAAACATAATAACATGACTAGCATTTAGACAACTGAACTAATAGCGGCGATACAACCTCCAAAATGGACATACGTTACCTAAAAGTATCAGTAAACGTTTATAGACAGAATGATGAATGTATGTTCTTATATTATGATATATGGGCAACTAGATCCTAATGAAGTCTTAACGAGCGTAATGATACGGAGCAGAGACCTCGATAAGACGGGAAGGCGTAAAGATCACTGGACCATATAAAGCCTTATTTTACGCCCCGGTACAACAAATGACTTTATTTATCAGTGGTCTATTTACTGCTCATGTCAATACAGTTGCGACGCATAATATTGTACAGTAATGAGAACTTTTCTCAACTGCAAGGGTAGATTGAAGCCTATGGTTGTACACACAAACTTGAGGGATTGCTTCGACCACACACCCGTTTTGTGCGGATACATCGTCATCCATTCGTGTCAAGATCGTTTAGTTGATGGTCAAATTCGGGTTTCTATCGACTTGCAGAAATAACAATAAAGAATCGGTAGGTGTCATGAGTTGCGATAGACCAATCATCCAATCATCCATGATTATGTTTATTTTAAGTTTTAATCGAATGCATGCTATGGTAGCGTAGCGATTGGCAAAGCAGGCGGGTGGGGTACAGGCAGGGTGGTCCTGCCTTGTCATAAGGTATCGTACTGTGCAGCATTTCCAGTCGGGGGTCATCTCAAATGTTATATATTTATTTTAACATCTTTAATCCTCGCAAAGACACGAGGGCCTGTGATACAAACCCCGCCTCATAACGGATCCGAACTGCCGTTGCACCAGTTTTCGACCGATACAATCTATTGTTGATGACATATGAACTCGATAAAAAGTGAATACACATTATCATAGCAAAACTGTTATTTGTACCATTGCGTCTTTTCAGATTGTAAATTGATGTAACGTGGCTTTTAGAGTTCATGTGTATGTATGTGCCTCGTGTATTTGTTTGAAGACACAATGCGGAGTAAACGGAAGCAGGAAGAAGCGTCAAACGAATACCGGCGGAGTTGAGGCAACAGCCAACCACACTGTCTACTTCGAGGATGAGTCCACTTCAGCATCGCAGACAAACAGTACGTTCTCACCTGCATGTATCGTCTTGAATAAGCTGAATTCTACCCAGCAACTAAGTGCAGACATATTATTCGTCGTACAATTGTAATCCATAGAATTTGGATGTATCGTCTTGAATAAGCTAAATTATTGTCAGCAGTTAAATGTAGATATATTATTCCTCATACAATTTTATTCCATATAATTTATAATGGGGTTATGTCCAGACTTACTGGCGATGAGATCGATGATCACGCACCATAAAACAGGCGAAACACATACATAAAAGCAGTAGATGTAACTAATGGATGTGATTTTTACCAGCCGAAACTGAAGTTTCTCCAACTGCACAGAACTGCCTCTTGGAGATGTCTGTGATTTTCCCTCCCATCATCGTTGTCTGCGTCGTCAACCTGGTGCTCATCATCGTCATCATGTACATGTGCTTCCTGCTGATGAAGAAAAGACGCAAGCAAGAATATAAGCAGGACGACCTGAGGTCCGAAAAGAGTCACAAGTATAACCCATACTAATTCAGTTTAATTTTGGTCGTTGGAATAATCTTGATATTCCAAACAAATCTATATTGGAAAGTATATCACTTAAATGCACTCAAAGATTTTTCTTTTAATTAACACAGACAAAACAAAATTTGTCCACTTATGTGGGTTGTGCTGTATCAAAGCACACAAATATATTCCCCTGCTTGATCTATTTTCATTTAACTTTACCAGACACAACTGTAAAGCAATGGATGAAAGGCCGGCTGGAGCATGGAAGGTCTTTGTGTGTGTTGTCAAAAGCACACCTGCGTAATTGTAGTTATGTGTTGCATTGGCTTTTGAGTCTAGTTACTAGACAGACGCATTACGTCGAGGTGCATTGCCACAGTTACAGATTTGACAGGCTTTGGATTAAGATGAGTGAGATTAGATAAGTGAGATTAGATATGTTTTGCTACACATGTATCTGGGTTTTTCACACCTTGTGAACCAGACCGGGTAAATAATATGCTGGAGAAGAATGCACCTATCTTTGCTATCGAACTGCATGTCCGGCATAACAACCTATGCACCCGTTTTTAACGATTGCTAAAATTTAACCTGAGGAACGATTGGTCTTTTGTGACTATTTTATAGGAGAATCGTTAGTGTGTTTTCAATCCTATGGTAGCTGTGTTTCGTGGACTGTTTTCATCTTAGTAGCGTTTTCATACAGTTTAGGAATGGCCATGCTCTGTAACTGTGGTGTATTGCGTGTACTACTGTCCTGACAACTGATAAAAACATCCGAAGCCAAATCTGTTTTCTTTCAATACCTGATTTACAATCCAAAGAAATTTGAAATGCGATAAAAATCCATTTACTGTCGCTATCAGTCTTACAAATCTACAGAGCACAATCAATTATTCCCTAATCCCTAATCATTTGATGTCCTCGTATAAATATATTTGAAAATACATTTGCAACGTAAAGAGACAAAATTCCGTTACCTCCAAAAATAAAAGTCTTGCCACATCGCTGATACGATTGACACTATGTACAGCACGAATTACAATAAAAGTGTTTTTAGGTTTGACCTGGGTCACGTTTGTGAGCGGCTTTGAATTATGTTTTCTGAGCGTAATTAGGACTTTTTTTCGAAAATCAAAAAAAAAATGCTTTTGATTGCGAACGACTGTCATTTGTTTTCATTTATACTCAACGCTCGTTATATATCGCATAATGACAGCTGGGGAGAAGCTACGTCACAAAGTACACATTGAGGCCAGATAATAGATTCATGGTATTTAAGATGTTTATAATATGGATTTAAGGCAGAGATTTTAGGTAAGGCAGCTGTGTGGGCTATCTTGTTGATGACTGTAATCTGATGGCAGGGGTTGTCGATAGTTGATATTAACGTTTGGAGCCAGTAGTTTTAGGCCACTGGCGATGTCCCCAGGTATGACTCTTTGGAAGGTGGGACACTCTGTGGGCTGTGTGTAATCTGATCGCGGGGATAGACGACCGTGTGGAGCCAGCTGTTAGAGGCGTCTTCCAACGCTTGTGGGGAATTATTCAGTGTTGATCATGGCTCGAAATGGAATATGCGTCAGGACTTGGGCGAGGAAAGATGATTGTGCAAATGTAAGGGTCTTGATGATCAATGTTAGTACTGACTTTTGGTTTTTTTAGACACTGATAGGTTGTATTACTTTGAGCCCTCAATTAACAGAGACTAAAGATTTCTCATTTTTTCCGTGTACAATGAAATGATAAAAACGACAGACTACTCCAGCTACTATCATTGCCAAAATTACTAAATATTCCTTGTTGTTGTTAAACCCGTTCATGCAAACTATCATGCTGTCTTTGTCAATGCCTGCTATATGTTTATAAGTCTGTTCTCTGCAGTAGCACTTCAGTCTTTCTTGACAACAGTATAACTATCTATACAGAGACGTTGCATTATAATGTAATATGAAGTTGTCATCCATAAGGGAGCATGTCTTTCACATTACTTATCAATTTCTAAAGTGCCAGTCAAAGAGAATACTCTACATAGGTTGGTTGACAACATAGAATATTGCCTTGTGATTATATTTTGAATATGTATACATATGTTTCCGAAAATTAGGCCTTGGCCGAGGAGAAATTTTTCTGCAAATGTAAGGGTCTTGCTGCTCAAGGCTAGTACATACTTTGTTATGTGGGTTGTTGTGTTTCACTCTGAAACGTGTTTCTTTGAGCCCTCAATCAACAGAGACATACGATGTTCCATTCTATCCGCCTACAATCAACTGACAAATACAACAGAGCATTCCAGCTTCACACATTGTACATTGTGGGGAATCGAACCTAGGCTTTCGGTGTCACGACCCGAACGCTTTAGCTACTAGACTACCTTATCGCCCCTTGAAATTTAGAGTGAGTGATTTAGTTTTAGCAACATCCCAGCAAGAACTCGACGGGGAACGACAGGAGTGGGCTTCACATGAATTGAACCCGGGTCTTCGGCATGACGAGTGAACGTTTCAATCACTAAGCTACCCCACTGCCCATTGGAATGAAGAACTCATTCGTGAGTATATATTTAATAAACATTATAAGACGGAGTGAGTGAGTTAGTTAGTTTGGTTTTACGCCGCTTGTAGCAATATTCCAGCTACATCACTGCTGAGGACATCAGAAATAGGCTTCACATATTGTACCTATGTGGGGAATCGAATCCTGGTCTTAGGCATGACGAGCGAACGCTTTAACCACTAGGCTACCCCCTCTGCCCCTTGAAATGAAGAGCTCACTCGTAATTGTATTTTTAATAAGTATAATAAGAAATGTACATATATACAAGTGCACGTTTCTAATTGTCGCTAGTCAGTCATGTATCTAATGTCATGTTTTAGTATCAGTCTTAATCAAATCAACGCGATCACAAAATGAGATTTTAAAAAAAAAATCAAAGTTAAATAAAAATAAAGTGTCCACAAACATCTTAAAACGAAACATACGTTGCACTTTGTGTGTTTTTCACAAGGCATGGAAAATAGTACGAGCCCGACAGATAGATCTGAAGATCTTGTTCTTTATCTGTGGCTTAATGCACTATTTTTAATCCGCATTCTCAGCTTTAACGAATTTTACTTTTACATTCGCAATTTCCTGTTGGTGAGACAACCATGAGAGAAAAACAAGCATAAGGGAAGAAGCGTACGTAAAAGAAAACAAAGAACCTGAGGAATATTATTATTTTGAGAAATGCAAAATGAATACGCTGAAAAAAGGATGAAGGACACCAGGAAACGTCAGGCTAAAATATCCCCAGTGAAGGGAAATGTAAGCACAGTGTTTAAGATTAAAGTTGATGTAATATTCATAAATACATTGTTTGAAACTCGAATCTATATACTACGCGTCATTAATGAAGGGTCAACTGAAATATAGCTCATGTAAAGAAAAGTTTCTCAGAATTTATAGAACTAATTAGAGTGTCATCATAATGATTAATATGTTGCCAAACGTGACACATCGTCACATACAGACAAACCGTTCAATCAGCACTAGCAAACATCAGTTGTATAGATCAACCCCAAAATGAAAATGACAAACATGAAGCACTCGGATATTCAACATCTTGTGTACCCTCCTCGCGCTTCCAAGACACAGGTGCACCTTGCTCTCGTGTTCCTTTTAAGTTCATACAGAAAGCTTGCGGATCCGTATTCCCTTCCTCTAGTAGAGCTCTGTGGAGTCGGATATCCACTGGTGCTGGGTGACGTGTGTACACATGTTGACCGAGTTCATCTCAGACATGCTCAAATGGGTTGTGGTGGGGCGAGCATGCTGGCCACTCCATCCACTCTACACCCTGCTGCCTAAGGGATTCCGTGACAATCCTGGACCTATGAGGCCGAACGTTGCCGTGTTGCAGTAAAAAAGGGCGACCATGAAATAGCTTGCAGGAATGGTACTGCATAGCTTGCAGGAATGGTACAGCCATAGGAGCAAGAATCTCGTCCCGCTAACACCACCACACAGCATGTCCCCCTAGTATGTAGACACCCCTCACTGTCCGTCCCCCTAGCACCACCATACAGCATGACCCCCTAGTATGTAGACACCCCTCACTACCCGTCCCCTTAACACCACCTCACAGCATGTCACTCTAGTATGTAGACACCCCTCACTGCCTGTCCCTTTAACACCACACAGCATGCCCCCCCTAGTATGTAGACACCCCTCACTGCCCGTCCCCTTAACACCACCTCTCAACATGTCACCCTAGTATGTAGACACCCCTCACTGCCCGTCCCCTTAAAACCACCTCACAGCATGTCACCCTAGTATGTAGACAACCTTTACTGTCTCTTCCCCCTCCGTCCTCCAGCACATCATCCCTGCACGTATAGTCGTAACTATCCCCACACACACACTCTTGACCGTCCACGCTCCACCCAACCTTCCCAGCACGTAACTCCTGCACAGTAGGTTATGTCTCCTGTTCCTTTCATTATCACCATAGCGACAGCAGGATCAGATTCCCAAATCTAATCAGAAAACTGTAAAGAAATCAGAACTAACAGTCAGCACAAGGGCACACTCCTCATTTTCAAAATCCTGAATTCCACAATTTGCATCATAACCCTTATATTTAGACCTTTGAAAAACATTGCTCATAGAGATGTAACATATACAATGAAGCCATATTTACTCATATTCTCAAGAACCGTTTTAAGGATAAATGTTTACTTTATACATTGTCATTTGTTTATGCCACCACAATGTTTTAATTGTAAACCTAAACCTGCGTGTTTAAATAGAATTGTGACACAACAACACTTCACGTCATTATTACCAGCTGTTCACCTTACATTTCCAAATACGGTTAAACAATCACAAATAGACATTTTCATGAAAAGACAATTGAAATAACACTATTTTCCCGCTGTTAGAAGTTCCAATGTGGATACACAAAATAAGTTTAAAGTAATCTCAAACTGAAGAATTCGTATAGCCTAAACCGTTAGTTTGCGGGAAGACTACCAGTTGTC